TAAAACTAATAAATGCAGAGTTTGATCAAGATATCTTGATAAACAATATGTCTTTTCATACAACTTAATTTTCGGCCGATCGTTCCTGTGGCAGGTATATGATATAGTGGTCCGATTTTAATTAGATTTTGCATATATATGAGGAGTATGGCAGCCATATGATATAGTGGTACGATCTTAATGGGATTTTGAATATATATGAGGAGCATAGTGAAACTAATAAATGCCGAGTTTGGTCAAAATATCTTGAAAAACATAATGTTGTTTCATTCTAATACTACAATTCAACTTAATTTTCCACGGATAGTTCCTATGGCAGTTTTATGATATAGTGGTCCGATCTCAAAAGGATTTTCAATACATATTAGGAGTTAAGTAAAACTAATATATGCAGAGTTTGGTCAAGATATCTTGATAAACAATATATTTTTTCATACAACAACTTAATATTTGACCGATCGTTCCTATGGCAGGTATATGATATAGTGGTCCGATTTTAATTAGATTTTGCATATATATGAGGAGTATGGCAGCCATATGATATAGTGGTCCGATCCTAATACGATTTTGCATATATATTAGGAGTATAGTAAGACTAATATATGTAGAGTTTGGTCAAGATATCTTGAAAAACAAAAAGTTTTTTCATACAACTTAATATTCGACCGATCGTTCCTATGGTAGGTTTATGACATAGTGGTCCGATCTTAATGAGATTTTGCATATATATGAGGAGTATGGCAGCCATATGATATAGTGGTCCGATCTTAATACGATTTTGCATATATATGAGGAGTATAGTAAAACTAATAAATGTAGAGACTGGTCAAGATATCTTGAAAAACAAAAAGTTTTTTCATACAGCTTAATATTCGACCGATCGTTTCTATGGCTGGTATATGATATAGTGGTCCGATCTTAATGAGATTTTGCATATATATGAGGAGTATGGCAGCCATATGATATAGTGGTCCGATGCTAATACGATTTTGCATATATATTAGGAGAATAGTAAAACTAATATATGCAGAGTTTGGTCAAGATATCTTGTTAAACAATATATTTTTTCATACAACTTAATTTTAGACCGACCGTTCCTATGGCATTTATATGATATAGTGGTCCGATCCTAATGAGATTTTGCATACATATAAGGAATATGGTAAAACTAATAAATGTTGAGTTTGGTTAAGATATCTTGAAAAACAAAAAGCTTTTTCATACAACTTATTTTTCGACCGATCGTTCCTAAGGCAGGTATATGATAGAGTGGTCCGATCTTAATAGGTTTTGCCTATAAATGGGGAGTATAGAAAAACTAATAAATGCGGAGTTTGGTCAAGATATCTTGAAAAATAAAATGTTTTTCATAAAAAAACTTAATTTACGACCGATCGTTTCTATGGCAGCCATATGATATAGTGGTCCGATCTTAATATGATTTTGCATATATATGAGTTGTATAGTAAAACTAATAAATATAGAGTTTATTCAAGATATCTTGAAAAACCATATATTTTTTCATACAACTTAATTTTCCACGGATAGTTCCTATGGCAGCTATATGATATGGTGGTCTGATCTTAATATGATTTTGCCCATATATGAGGAGTATAGTGAAACTAACAAATGTAGAGTTTGGTTAAGATATCTTAAAAAACAAAAAGTTTTTTCATACAACTTAATTTTCGAACGATCATTCCTATGGCAGGTGTATAATATAGTGGTCCGATCTTAATGAGAATTTGCATATATATGAGGAGTATGGCAGCCATATGATATAGTGGTCCGATCTTAATACGATTTTGCATATAGATTAGGAGAATATTAAAACTAATACATGCAGAGTTTGGTCAAGATATCTTGATAAACAATATATATTTTCATACAACTTAATTTTCCACGGATAGTTCCTTTGGCAGCTATATGATATGGTGGTCCGATCTTAATATGATTTTGCCTATATATGAGGAGTATAGTAAAACTAATAAATGTAGAGTTTGGTCAAGATATCTTGAAACAAAAAAAGTTTTCTCATACAACTTAATTTTCGACCGATCGTTCCTATGGCAGCCATATGCTGTAGTGGTCCGATCTTAATAGGATTGTGCATTTATATGAAGAGAATAGTAAAACTAATAAATGCAGAGTTTGGTAAAGATATCTTGATAAACAATATATTTTTTCATACAACTTAATTTTCCACGGATAGTTCCTATGGCAGCTATATGATATGGTGGTCCGATCTTAATATGATTTTGCCTATATATGAGGAGTATAGTAAAACTAATAAATGTAGAGTTTGGTCAAGATATCTTGAAAAACCATATATTTTATCATACAACTTAATTTTCCACGGATAGTTCCTATGGCAGCTATATGATATGGTGGTCTGATCTTAATATGATTTTGCCCATATATGAGGAGTATAGTAAAACTGTAGAGTTTGGTCAAGATATCTTGAAAAACCATATATTTTTTCATACAACTTAATTTTCCACGGATAGTTCCTATGGCAGCTATATGATATGGTGGTCTGATCTTAATATGATTTTGCCCATATACGAGGAGTATAGTAAAACTAACAAATGTAGAGTTTGCTTAAGATATCTTGAAAAACAAAAAGTTTTTTCATACAACTTAATTTTCGACCGATCGTTCCTATGGCAGGTAAATGATATAGTGGTCCGATCTTAATGAGAATTTGCATATATATGAGGAGTATGGCAGCCATATGATATAGTGGTCCGATCTTAATACGATTTTGCATATAGATTAGGAGAATATTAAAACTAATACATGCAGAGTTTGGTCAAGATATCTTGATAAACAATATATATTTTCATACAACTTAATTTTCCACGGATAGTTCCTTTGGCAGCTATATGATATGGTGGTCCGATCTTAATATGATTTTGCCTATATATGAGGAGTATAGTAAAACTAATAAATGTAGAGTTTGGTCAAGATATCTTGAAACAAAAAAAGTTTTCTCATACAACTTAATTTTCGACCGATCGTTCCTATGGCAGCCATATGCTGTAGTGGTCCGATCTTAATAGGATTGTGCATTTATATGAAGAGAATAGTAAAACTAATAAATGCAGAGTTTGGTAAAGATATCTTGATAAACAATATATTTTTTCATACAACTTAATTTTCCACGGATAGTTCCTATGGCAGCTATATGATATGGTGGTCCGATCTTAATATGATTTTGCCTATATATGAGGAGTATAGTAAAACTAATAAATGTTGAGTTTGGTCAAGATATCTTGAAAATCAAAATGTTTTTTCATACAACTTAATTTTCGACCGATCGTTCCTATGGCAGGTATATGATATAGTAGTCCGATCTTATTGAGGAGTATAGTAAATCTAATAAATGTAGAGTTTGGTCAAGATATCTTGAAACACAAAAAGTTTTCTCATACAACTTAATTTTCGACCGATCGTTTCTATGGCAGCTATATGATATAGTGGTCTGATCTTAAAAGGATTTTGAATTTATATGAGGAGTAAAGTAAAACTAATAAATGCAGAGTTTGGTCAAGATATCTTCATAAACATAATATTTTTTCATACAACAACTTAATTTTCGACCGATCGTTCCTGTGGCGGCTATATGATAAAGTTGTCCGATCTTAATATGATTTTGCATATAAACGAGGAGTATAGTAAAACTAATAAATGCCGAGTTTGGTCAAAATATCTTGATAAACATAACGTTGTTTTATTCAAATACTACAATTCAACTTAATATTCCACGGATAGTTCCTATGGCAGCTATATGATATAGTGGTCCGATCTCAAAAGGATTTTCAATACATATAAGGAGTTAAGTAAAACTAATATATGCAGAGTTTGGTCAAGATATCTTCATAAACATTATATTTTTTCATACAACAACTTAATTTTCGACCGATCGTTCCTGTGGCGGCTATATGATAAAGTTGTCCGATCTTAATATGATTTTGCATCTAAACGAGGAGTATAGTAAAACCAACAAATGCCGAGTTTGGTCAAGATTTCTTGAAAAACAAAATGTTTTTCATACAAAAACTTAATTTTCGACCGATCGTTCCTACGGCAGCCATATGCTGTAGTGGTCCGACCTTAATAGGATTTGGCATTTATATGAGGAGAATAATAAAACTAATAAATGCAGAGTTTGGTCAAGATATCTTGATAAACAATATGTTTTTTCATACGACTTAATTTTCGGCCGATCGTTCCTGTGGCAGCTATATAATATAGTGGTCCGATCTTAATAGGATTTTGAATATATATGAGGAGCATAGTAAAACTAATAAATGCCGAGTTTGATCAAAATATCTTGATAAACATAATGTTGTTTTATTCAAATACTACAATTAAACTTAATATTCCACGGATAGTTCCTATGGCAGCTATATGATATGGGGGTCCGATCTTAATATGATTTTGCCTATATATGAGGAGTTTAGTAAAACTAATAAATGTAGAGTTTGGTTAAGATATCTTGAAAAACAAAACGTTTTTTCATACAACTTAGTTTTCGACCGATCGTTCCTCTGCCAGGTATATGATATAGTGGTCCGATCTTAATGAGAATTTGCATATAGATTAGGAGAATATTAAAACTAATAAATGCAGAGTTTGGTCAAGATATCTTGATAAACAATATATTTTCTCATACAACTTAATTTTCCACGGATAGTTCCCTTGGCAGCTATATGATATGGTGGTCCGATCTTATGATTTTACCTATATATGAGGAGTATAGTAAAACTAATAAATGTAGAGTTTGGTCAAGATATCTTGAAACACAAAAAGTTGTCTCATACAACTTGATTTTCGACCGATCGTTTCTATGGCAGCTATATGATATAGTGGTCTGATCTTAATAGGATTTTGAATTTATATGAGGAGTAAAGTAAAACTAATAAATGCCGAATTTGGTCAAGATATCTTTATAAACATTATATTTGTTCATACATCAACTTAATTTTCGACCGATCGTTCCTGTGGCAGCTATATTCTTCGTACATACTTATATAAGTCTAAGCCTATGCTGTCTGTCGTTTAAATTAAAGCCCTTAAAAACAACTAACAGTACGAATTGATGAAGAGTGATGATAGATAGAAACGGAGTTGGAGTTGGAAAGAACGTAACAACGATGTCCATGCGATTGACTGACTACACGATGCGATGCAGATGCTGCAGATGCCCCCGGAACTGCGACGTCTACAATAAAAAATAAAATAAATCCCGCCCATGTTCGAGTGCCGCCTGGTCCGACATGCGACCACTCCTTAGCGAGGCTGTGGCAGCGGCAGTGGTCCAGTGCCTGGACATGGCATCCGTTTGGCCAGGTGCTTGCATAGCGGCACATCCCGCACAGCATCGCCGATAAAGACCGAGAGCAGATACCATTGTTTGAAGCCGTCGGTTGATTGCACTTTGTAGTTCCTCAAGACCTCCGACCAGGGCGCATGTAGCTTTGCCTTGCCGTCGCTGCCAGATTGCCGTTGACTGCCTGGACGTGAGGCATGCACACGAAACGGCTCCTCGAGTATGCAAGCCTGTGGCCCGAACTCGCGCTGTATCTCCTTCTGGGCCAACTGGGCGTCCAAAGCTAGTGGGTGGGCAGCGTCACGTCTGCTACGCGAACGATACGTATCTTTTCTGTTCTGCGAATTTTTTCTTGAACTCTGCCAACAATTCGGAAAATGAAATCTAAATGCAAAACAGCAATGGGCGGGCCTTTGGTAATGCAATTAAGCAGTTATGGTAACAAATAACAAATAGCATGCAGCTGCGATTTATTTAACAGCGTAATTTAAAACTCGAGCTTTTATGGTTCCGTGCACAAACACAATTTAAAATTTTCTTTTAATAAGCAAAATTATTTGCTAAGGCGCGAACACAATTGCAAAATATTTATCGATATTTACACCTTGAATATCGGAATAAGCAAACAGCTGATCGACGTCTCAAAACACAGACGCGCTACGCACAATTATCAAATTTGAGACGTGCGTCTGGTTATCTTAATGCAATAACTCAATAACTCAACCGCGCACATCTAACAATCAATAAAAAGCACCCAGCACCAATAAAAACACTTAATAAACTAATAATTATGAATTGTTTATTCGCCAACAAGCACGAATGCCGCGCAGACTGCAGAGGTAGCAAAATATATGATATAGTTGTCCGATCTTAATATGATTTCGCATATAAACGAGGAGTATAGTAAAACTAACAAATGCCGAGTTTGGTCAAGATTTCTTGAAAAACAAAATGTTTTTCAAACAAAAACTTAATTTTCGACCGATCGTTCCTATGGCAGCCATATGATATAGTGGTCAGATCTTAATACGATTTTGCATATATATTAGGAGAATAGTAAAAGTAATTAATGCCGAGTTTGGTTAACATATCTTGAAAAACAAAATGTTTTTCATACAAAAACTTAATTTTCGACCGATCGTTCCTATGACAGCCATATGCTGTAGTGGTCCGATCTTAATAGGATTTTTCATTTATATGAAGAGAATAGTAAAACTAATAAATGCAGAGTTTGGTCAAGATATCTTGATAAACAATAATTATTTCATACAACTTAATTTTCCACGGATAGTTCCTATGGCAGTTATATGATATGGTGGTCCGATCTTAAAATGATTTTGCCTATATATGGGGAGTATAGTAAAACTAATAAATGTAGAGTTTGGTCAAGATATCTTGAAAATCAAAAAGTTTTTTCATACAACTTAATTTTCGACTGATCGTTCCTATGGCAGGTATATGATATAGTAGTCCGATCTTATTGAGGAGTATAGTAAAACTAATAAATGTAGAGTTTGGTCAAGATATCTTGAAACACAAAAAGTTTTCTCATACAACTTAATTTTCGACCGATCGTTTCTATGGCAGCTATATGATATAGTGGTCTGATCTTAAAAGGATATTGAATTTATATGAGGAGTAAAGTAAAACTAATAAATTCAGAGTTTGGTCAAGATATCTTGATAAACATTATATTTTTTTATAGAACAACTTAATTTTCGACCGATCGTTCCTGTGGCGGCTATATGATATAGTTGTCCGATCTTAATATGATTTTGCATATAAACAAGGAGTATAGTAAAACTAATAAATGCCGAGTTTGGTCAAGATATCTTGAAAAACAAAATGTTTTTCATACAAAAACTTAATTTTCGAACGATCGTTCCTATGGCAGCCATATGCTGTAGTGGTCCGAACTTAATAGGATTTTGCATTTCTATGAGGAGAATAATAAAACTAATAAATGCAGAGTTTGATCAAGATATCTTGATAAACAATATGTCTTTTCATACAACTTAATTTTCGGCCGATCGTTCCTGTGGCAGGTATATGATATAGTGGTCCGATTTTAATTAGATTTTGCATATATATGAGGAGTATGGCAGCCATATGATATAGTGGTACGATCTTAATGGGATTTTAAATATATATGAGGAGCATAGTAAAACTAATAAATGCCGAGTTTGGTCAAAATATCTTGAAAAACATAATGTTGTTTCATTCAAATACTACAATTCAACTTAATTTTCCACGGATAGTTCCTATGGCAGCTATATGATATAGTGGTCCGATCTCAAAAGGATTTTCAATACATATTAGGAGTTAAGTAAAACTAATATATGCAGAGTTTGGTCAAGATATCTTGATAAACAATATATTTTTTCATACAACAACTTAATATTTGACCGATCGTTCCTATGGCAGGTATATGATATAGTGGTCCGATTTTTATTAGATTTTGCATATATATGAGGAGTATGGCAGCCATATGATATAGTGGTCCGATCCTAATACGATTTTGCATATATATTAGGAGTATAGTAAGACTAATATATGTAGAGTTTGGTCAAGATATCTTGAAAAACAAAAAGTTTTTTCATACAACTTAATATTCGACCGATCGTTCCTATGGTAGGTTTATGATATAGTGGTCCGATCTTAATGAGATTTTGTATATATATGAGGAGTATGGCAGCCATATGATATAGTGGTCCGATCTTAATACGATTTTGCATATATATGAGGAGTATAGTAAAACTAATAAATGTAGAGACTGGTCAAGATATCTTGAAAAACAAAAAGTTTTTTCATACAGCTTAATATTCGACCGGTCGTTTCTATGGCAGGTATATGATATAGTGGTCCGATCTTAATGAGATTTTGCATATATATGAGGAGTATGGCAGCCATATGATATAGTGGTCCGATGCTAATACGATTTTGCATATATATTAGGAGAATAGTAAAACTAATATATGCAGAGTTTGGTCAAGATATCTTGTTAAACAATATATTTTTTCATACAACAACTTAATTTTAGACCGATCGTTCCTATGGCAGGTATATGATATAGTGGTCCGATCCTAATGAGATTTTGCATACATATAAGGAATATGGTAAAACTAATAAATATTGAGTTTGGTCAAGACATCTTGAAAAACAAAAAGCTTTTCATACAACTTATTTTTCGACCGATCGTTCCTATGGCAGGTATATGATAGAGTGGTCCGATCTTAATAGGTTTTGCCTATAAATGGGGAGTATAGAAAAACTAATAAATGCGGAGTTTGGTCAAGATATCTTGAAAAATAAAATGTTTTTCATAAAAAAACTAAATTTACGACCGATCGTTTCTATGGCAGCCATATGATATAGTGGTCCGATCTTAATATGATTTTGCATATAAACGAGGAGTATAGTAAAACTAAGAAATGCCGAGTTTGGTCAAAATATCTTGATAAACAAAATGTTTTTTCTTTCAAAAACTTAATGTGTTTTCATACAACTTAATTTTCCACGGATAGTTCCTATGGCAGCTATATGATATGGTGGTCCGATCTTAATATGATTTTGCCTATATATGAGGAGTATAGTAAAACTAATAAATGTAGTTTGGTCAAGATATCTTGAAAAACCATATATTTTTTCATACAACTTAATTTTCCACGGATAGTTCCTATGGCAGCTATATGATATGGTGGTCTGATCTTAATATGATTTTGCCCATATATGGGGAGTATAGTAAAACTAACAAATGTAGAGTTTGGTTAAGATATCTTAAAAAACAACAAGTTTTTTCATACAACTTAATTTTCGAACGATCATTCCTATGGCAGGTGTATAATATAGTGGTCCTATCTTAATGAGAATTTGCATATATATGAGGAGTATGGCAGCCATATGATATAGTGGTCCGATTTTAATATGATTTTGCACACATATTAGGAGAATATTAAAACTAATAAATGTAGAGTTTGGTCAAGATATCTTGAAAAACCATATATTTTTTCATACAACTTAATTTTCCACGGATAGTTCCTATGGCAGCTATATGATATGGTGGTCTGATCTTAATATGATTTTGCCCATATACGAGGAGTATAGTAAAACTAACAAATGTAGAGTTTGCTTAAGATATCTTGAAAAACAAAAAGTTTTTTCATACAACTTAATTTTCGACCGATCGTTCCTATGGCAGGTAAATGATATAGTGGTCCGATCTTAATGAGAATTTGCATATATATGAGGAGTATGGCAGCCATATGATATAGTGGTCCGATCTTAATACGATTTTGCATATAGATTAGGAGAATATTAAAACTAATACATGCAGAGTTTGGTCAAGATATCTTGATAAGCAATATATATTTTCATACAACTTAATTTTCCACGGATAGTTCCTTTGGCAGCTATATGATATGGTGGTCCGATCTTAATATGATTTTGCCTATATATGAGGAGTATAGTAAAACTAATAAATGTAGAGTTTGGTCAAGATATCTTGAAACAAAAAAAGTTTTCTCATACAACTTAATTTTCGACCGATCGTTCCTATGGCAGCCATATGCTGTAGTGGTCCGATCTTAATAGGATTGTGCATTTATATGAAGAGAATAGTAAAACTAATAAATGCAGAGTTTGGTCAAGATATCTTGATAAACAATATATTTTTTCATACAACTTAATTTTCCACGGATAGTTCCTATGGCAGCTATATGATATGGTGGTCCGATCTGAATATGATTTTGCCTATATATGAGGAGTATAGTAAAACTAATAAATGTAGAGTTTGGTCAAGATATCTTGAAAATCAAAAAGTTTTTTCATACAACTTAATTTTCGACCGATCGTTCCTATGGCAGGTATATGATATAGTAGTCCGATCTTATTGAGGAGTATAGTAAATCTAATAAATGTAGAGTTTGGTCAAGATATCTTGAAACACAAAAAGTTTTCTCATACAACTTAATTTTCGACCGATCGTTTCTCTGGCAGCTATATGATATAGTGGTCTGATCTTAAAAGGATTTTGAATTTATATGAGGAGTAAAGTAAAACTAATAAATGCAGAGTTTGGTCAAGATATCTTCATAAACATTATATTTTTTCATACAACAACTTAATTTTCGACCGATCGTTCCTGTGGCGGCTATATGATAAAGTTGTCCGATCTTAATATGATTTTGCATATAAACGAGGAGTATAGTAAAACCAACAAATGCCGAGTTTGGTCAAGATTTCTTGAAAAACAAAATGTTTTTCATACAAAAACTTAATTTTCGACCGATCGTTCCTACGGCAGCCATATGCTGTAGTGGTCCGACCTTAATAGGATTTGGCATTTATATGAGGAGAATAATAAAACTAATAAATGCAGAGTTTGGTCAAGATATCTTGATAAACAATATGTTTTTTCATACGACTT